GCAAGACCACCACCACCAGGTGGGAACCTCCAGACTCTTCACTGCCTCCTACAGACAGAACATGACCTCTCCATTCCCGTGGATCGGTTCTGAATGATCCGGACCGTCTCTCCGTGTTCCTGCAGGTCCGTGCTGACCTACTCCCGTATCGGGGGTCATGTGAAGACGCTGACCTTCTGCCAGGGCTCACATTATTTAGCTGTGGCGTCTGATAACGGATCCATCCAGCTGCTGGCCGTGGAAGCCAACAAGCCTCCCAAATCTCCCAAAGTTCAGCCGTTCCAGAGCCGGTAAGGTCCAGAACCCGACACACTCTCTACATGGAGATGGTATTAGTCATCAGGACACAAACATCTGCTGCTGAAATGGTCTAATTATTATTTTTAACCTCATTAAATGAGCCCAAAGCTCCTTCAGTCTGAAATGTTCAGTTATATATGAATATATATTTGTATTATTTGGGTCTGAAACCCTCTAAAGGTCAGTTTGACACATTATTTTGCTCCACTGTAGTGGAAGCTAACGCTAAAGCGCCAAGTTTAACCATGTTGAAACGTAACTACATGTGCAGCTATACCCGACCTCCGGATCAAACCTTTCACTCCTGCTTCAGTTTTATTGTTGTGGACTTTTGGTCTTATATAATAATAAACATCATTGCTGCTCCACAGGAAGCAAAACTTCAGAATAAGAGCCTGAACATAAATGTCCAGCTGCTTCAACACAATTTCAAACTTAATTCAGCTGAAAGTTTACAAAACAGCCCAGTAAATTAGAGCTTCAGAGTTTTTCTGGAAAAAATAATTTAGGGGAAGATAAATCCTGTAAACGTTTTCAGTTAGCAGAAATGCTAAGTGGAAATGTAGCTCCTCTGTTAGCGAACCCACCACCTCTCCCATCTTTAACACTCATAAGTAAAAACCAAAAATGATTTTCTTTTTCCGGCAGTGATGCTTTTCATAGCAGCTTTGCTCAGGGGGAAGTAGCGCCATCTGCTGCACAGACATTAAATTAATAACTAATCTTTTAATCTCAAAAGGATGAGTGTCTGCTTCTTGCCAAACGATAAGGAGTAAATAAGTGCCAATGTTTTGCTGCTTTAAGGACCTGAGATATCAGATCCAAAATGGCTGAAAGTAAAAATCTGAATGAATGTTTTCCTCTGGTTCTGTCTGGTTCCAGGACTCTGGACCTGCAGGAAGACGGCTGCGCTGTGGACATGCACCACTTCCACAGCGGCACCCAGTCGGTGCTGGCCTACGCCACGGTGAACGGTGGCCTGGTGGGCTGGGACCTGCGCTCCAACTGCAACGCCTGGACGCTGCGGCACGACCTGCGGCTCGGCCTCATCACCTCCTTCAGCGTGGACGTACACCAGTGCTGGCTCTGCCTGGGTCCGTCCCGGTCCTGGAGCCTTCCTGGTTCTGGTCCGTTTCCCCGGTGACCGAGCCGCTTTGTTTCGCCCCGCAGGTACGAGCAGCGGCACCATGGCATGCTGGGATATGCGATTCCAGCTCCCCATCTCCAACCACTCCCACCCAGCCCGGGCCCGGGTCCGCCGGCTGCTCATGCACCCGTTGTACCAGTCGTCGGTGATCGCAGGTCGGCGCCGCGTCAGAACCGGGTCGGTCCGAAGGAGAACCCGTCTCACCGCCTGTCTGTGTCTCTGCAGCTGTCCAGGGGAACAACGAGGTGTCCATTTGGGACATGGAGACCGGGGACAGGAAGTTCACGCTGTGGGCCAGCTCCGCCCCTCCACTCTCTGAGATGCAGGTCGGTCCGGTCCGTTTCTGGGTCCGGGTCCAGCCCTGCAGCGGTTTTGACGTATTGCTTTGTGTTGCAGCCGTCTCCTCACAGCGTCCATGGGATCTACTGCAGCCCGGCCGACGGGAACCCTCTGCTGCTGACGGCCGGGTCTGACATGAGGATCAGGTGAGTAGAACCTCTGGATCCGTAGAGATCGGACCGGAACATCTAACCGGTCGGTTCTGACGTGTTGATGTCAAACTGGAGGCCAAAAGGGAAATGTTTCAGTTGTTCTCCTCCTTAAAACTGTCTGAGGGTTTAATTAGAACCGAGTCTGGAGTTCTGCAGCTGCTGCTCTTTAAAGGCTGCACAGAGTAATCTAATCAGAACCATATGGACCACCAGAACCGGTCCTGGTCCCAGTCTTCACAGCATAAACAAGAAGATTCTGCAGAAAACAATTCAAACCGCAGCAGGTTTTAACCAGGTGGTTCTGTTCAGGTTCTGTGTTCACTGCCTGGTTCTGTTCAGGTTCTGTGTTCACTGCCTGGTTCTGTTAAGGTTCTGTGTTCACTGCCTGGTTCTGTTCAGGTTCTGGGACCTGGCGTACCCGGAGCGGTCGTACATCGTGGCGGGAGGAGCCCACGACTCGCTGCACTGTCCGTCTGTCCTCTACAGCCGTAAGATCATCGAGGGAACCGAAGTGGTTCAGGTAAAGGAAACACAAACCAAAGCTGAAATCACTCCTTACCTCCAGCTGGGCAAATCTCCAATATTTTATACCAAAGCTGATTTCCAATTTTGATCAAACAGCAGCTTGTGAAACCTGATGGCAGTTCCTGGGTGGGCTGACATCACTCTAAATCAGCAAAAATTAAATCTTCAAAATCAGAAAATTACATTAAAAGAGCCATACTTCTAGAGCGCAGTAAATCTGAGAAAAAAGACCAGAGAAATGTCCCCCCTTCCCACAATGACCTCAGTTTGCGGGTGAAACTGGTGAGGGAGGCCCTGCTTATGCATGAAAACAAGTATACACACAGAGTTGCCTCCTTCCTCCCATCTCTGCAGGAGATCCACAGCAAACAGAAGAGCGGCGCCGCCGAGGACTCGCCTCGCCGAGGCCTGGAGTCACTTCCTGTCGGCCATCATGACATCATCACCGACATCGCCACCTTCCAGACGACGCAGGGCTTCATCGTCACCTCGTCCAGGGACGGCATAGTCAAAGTGTGGAAGTGAAGATGTGGACCGGCTTTTATTTTGAAGGGTTTTCCTGACATCAGACTTCCTCTTCCTCTCCTGCTTTATCCTAATGCAACTTATCCCAGAATGTGGAAGTGAGCTGTGGATGGACCCGATTCTGGTTCTGTTCTAACCAGTCAGACCAGCGAATGAGCCGGGTTCTGACTGACCTGAAGGTCTGGTCTTGATGTTAATCTGGACGTCTTGGTTCTGCATGTCGTCAGCACCATCTGGGTTCTGTTTAAAGAGACTCCCTGCAGCTCGACCCGGTTCTGGTTCTGTTCATCATGAGTCACTTTGGTTTGTCTAACTGATGTGAAACTGGTTTGTTAATCAGATGTGAGGTTCTGGAATAATTCAGAACCATTTAAGAGAAATAAAATCCCACTTCCTTCTTTCCAGTCATTCATATTTAATAAAGAAGCCAGACTCTTATTTTGAAGAGAATCTGCGAGTTTTACTTTGAAAGTCCAAATTTGAAACTGAATTCTTCACATGATAAACACCTGGGGCCTCGTGCATAAAGCGGCGTGAGCACAAAACAGTGCGGTCCCATATTTTACACAAAAGTCGGCATGTATAAAAATTAACTTTGCGTCAAAGTGTGTGTAAATACACGCAGATGTTTTCGCTGGGTGAAAATGTGCAGCAGCCACACAAACGATAAGAAACCACAAAGCCTCAAACTCACATAAATGCACTGAAGTCTGACTACATTCAGTTATTGAGACCAAGGAGCACCAAACCGATGTTTTTCATGATTTTATATTTTATTGTTAAATGATGAAACTGAACCCATTCATCCTCAGACAATAAGCTAACACGAACACAAAATAAAAATAAAAGGATGTGAAAACCTCGCTCCAATGTAAATGGCGCTTTTCCTCAGTTTGTGTCTCATAGAGATGTAACACATTGATCTGTGAGCCGAAATGCATCTATGGGGTCATTTCATTCTCACTGAAAACAGGAAACAGGCTCAGCAGATTAACTCCAACCTGCTGAGTGAAACTAATCAACAGCTTTGATTATTTGAGGTGATCCAGGTGTGTCTGCAGTCACACGGATATCAGTAGCTGCATCCAGGTGAGCCGTAATGTGGAGCTTTGGCTCTGATGGAGAACAGAGGGAGGATTGATCAGAGATCATATTGGTTTATTGGTGTTTAGATTCATCCAGACTGATCATCCTGGGTCTCTGAGCAGAACTTAAAGACGGAGCCGAGCGGTACCGGTACCGGTCCAGCTGCAGCCATCCAGCCGCCCGCTTTGTGAAAGCGCCTTATGGACATAAAGCATCTTAATTCTGTAAATGTACAACTTATTCACATGATTCTACTATTAATAAACGTCCAGTTTCCCACCAAAGACCCTCTGACTCCGTCTTTAAACCCCGGCTGAACGCTCTGCTGCTGTGCAGACAGGCATTTGCAGGATCTCTTTATTTTTTATTTTGGATTTTTTTTTCTTTAAAATGTATTATTTTTATTTTTGTGAGGTGACATCATGAGCCCTGAAAGCAGCTTTTAAATAAACTATATAATTATTATTATAGATGCTTATACTGCTGTTAGCCAGGATGGTTGCCATGGTTACTGCTTCACGTGGCAGCAGACTTCCAGGTATTTATACTGATTTATATTAATATGTATTCATGGAGGCGGCAGGCGGAGCAGCAGCTGCTCCGTTTCCCCCAAATCAGGATTTACAGAGGAAAGGTGCAGAGCCACGGCTTCATGCATCCCATTTGGTTTGTGTGCCGCACTTTTCTACATTTTCCCGAACGCCAAGTTTTGGTGTGAAAACTGCGCAGGGTTTTATGCACGAAGCCCCTGGTTATGGAGGACGGCCATGTTGGATTAGCATTGGGATGAAGAAGCTGCTGAGTCAGGAAATGAGCATCCAACAACCATCCAACATCAGACATCCATCCAACAACCATCCAGCATCAGCATCCATCCAACAACCATCCAGCATCCATCCAGCTTCCAACATGAGGCTGAATCAGTGGAGCTTCGTATGAACCGGTTCTGGTTTGTTTATTTGGGTTTCTGCAGCCGTTACATCACAGGTTCTCATGGTTCTGGTTCCGGTATGAACAGAACCTGTCGGGATGTTTGGACAGTCACTGACGGGTTCTAAACTCAGACCTGGTTCCTGAACGGTTCTGCGATTTGCAGCGGTCAGCCAGGTGAATCAGAACCAGAACCAGCTGTTTGGAACCAAGAAGATCTGTTGTTACCGGGCAACAGCAGGTTGGTTCTGGTTCTGAGAGACTTGGAGGAGAGCGTCAGTCTGTAAGCTCAGAGTGGACCGATCCCTGAGGAAGAACCAGGCCTGTTCCAGAACCTTTGGAACCTTTTCATATTAAGTATATTTATAGATTATTGGTTTCAGATTTTGACATAAATTTAAATGTTGTTACATATTTCCACCAGCAGGGGGTGCGTCAGTAAAAGCAGAGCTGCTTGGACAGGCCTGAAGGGGGCGCTGCTGTTTTACTAAAACACTTTACAGAAACTTCAAATATTGTGACTGATGATCCGCCGATCGACCCGCTTTTATAAAAATAGCACTTGATCCGAGGATGAGCAGAACCGGGTCGGTCCAATGGGAGTTCTACGGAGGCCCTGAAGGGTCACTCAGAGTTTTCTGTTTCCAAGCTGAGGAGCTTTTTCCAACTAAGGTTCCCAAGACAAGCTTCACAGTTCCAGGAAAGGTCTGTTTTGTTCTGGACCTATGGACAGAACCCGGACAGATCCAGATCGTCTCCTCTCTTCAGGACATTTGCTCACCACCTCTGGATTTTCCCCGGATCATCCTGGACAGGAGGGATACCGTCGATGTTCTGGAGACGGCTCCACTTTCAGGATCGGTCTGGTTCTCCCAGGTTTTCCTGCAGCTGAACCGATGAAGTTTCTGAACGGGAAGAATCGGTTCTGGTGCCTATCGTCATGTTGGGAACCGGAACATCCGGGTTCGAAGGAGGAACAGCTGCTGGAGATGAATCCAGATCTGGTGATCAAAGGGCTTTGCAAATGGGTCAGAGGGAACGTTAGTCGGGAAACCTGGAAGAACCTCCTGAGTGTGACCCTTCAGGGGTCCCGTAGTCCATCAGGAAGAAGAAAGCGCCTTCTTCTGGTGACATCAAGTCCTGTGGTCTCCTCTCCGGCCACGACCTTCGACCTCCTCATTGGATGTGCGTCAGACACAGGTTCTCGCACTCCTCTTGCGTCTCGAAGCGGTTAGCGTTACCGTCGCAGCCGCCGTACCAGAACCGGGCGCACTCGTCCTGAACGGTGTCGAAGAACCACATCATGGCGTAGTCCTGGCAGCCGCCGGGGTCCTGGCGCTGGAGGCAGGCGTCTGCACGGAGAGAAGAAGAAGAACGACTCCAACACCTGACTGGAGGAATGGAAAATCAACGGTTCTGGAGAGGCCACCAGGAACGATCCATCAGGACGTCTACACGCCCGCTAAAGCTAAAGCTAAAGCTAAGCTGCTGAACCTTTTCCACTTGATGGATAACCTGGAGGCTGAGGAGAGAGTGATCACCTTTAGAGAAGACCGTGATCTTCGGCTGCAGCCTCTTGTTGGGATCTGAGAGGGAAAACAGATCAGAACAGGTCAGATCTACAGGAAACAAACATCTGCAGAAACCTGAGCTCAGATTTATGCAGACGTTAGTGGAAGCAGGAAACCATGTCAACATGTCACGGGTTCCTGTCAGGTTCTTTGCATCCTAACATTTCTCCAGGATTCCTGAGTCGACCTGCTTCTGGGTTGTTTCTCAGCCTGGGACCCCCGAGCTGAGCTTTTACAATAAACTATCTGCCACATTAAGTTGTTTGAATTTCAACAACAGCCTGAATACCAAAGTGATATCTTAACAATGCCACAAATGGCAATAAGATGTTTAACTTTTAACACAGTGAAGAATTTTTTGCTCACTGATTGTCTCCATTTCTGACATTATTTTATGCCTCAGTAGCAGATAATAGGGCCGCTACAATCACGGCTAACAGTTTAGCCGTTAGCAGCTAAGGTAGCAGAGCAACTAGCATACTAGCACTGAAATGCTAATACAGTAATTTCTCTCTCAAACATCGTCTACGTCAGACTGGTTGATGGAACAACATTATGGGATCATCTCCATGTTTTTGGTGAATGTTGGAAACCTGGAATTGAACTAAATTAGACAGGGCCGTGCAGAGACCTTTGGAGGGGCAGGGGCTCAAAGTTAAAAAGGGGCACATTGAACAAGATCTTAAATTGACGTACATCAATATAGCAACAACCCACATCAAGAATTTAATATTTAATCAGCTCATACTGTATCACTGTCATCATGCGGGGACAATGCAGAGCAAATGTAGTCTATTTTCAGACATCCAGGGGCCCTATAAATGGTTGAATTTTAACACATTTATTAAGAATGCCATTCTCAATAAATGTCATTAATTTATAGAGAATGACAATGTTATTAAATTTTATTTAATGCCATTCAACAGAGAAAAAATTTACATTTAGGATTTAAGTAGGAAGTTTACTTTGTAAAAGTTTAAAGAATCATCTTAATAGTCTGATTGTTGTGTTACCATTTCTACAATATGGTGTAATCTTTGTGTTTGAGCTGGTTTATTCACAAATACATCACAGCAGATAACCAATAATCAGTGATTGATTTTAAACTCGGCCAATAAACCTGGCCTCCAATCACAGATTCACCTTATCGATATTAAACATGTTAGTGATGCTGAGGATCTTAGTCGTAGGGTCTGGGGAGCCTAAATCATGATTCTGTCTAAGGCCCCGTATTACCTTGGGCCGGCCCTGCATGAACAGCCGCTGGGATGCACATCTCTGATTCTACCTGGAATCTGCCTGGAATCCCCCGGTGCCACCTGCGGTACCGGGTGGCACCAGGTGGTACCAGGTGGTATCAGGTGCTACCAGGTGGCACCGGGTGGCACCAGGTGGCACCGGGTGGTACCAGGTGGTATCAGGTGCTACCAGGTGGCACCGGGTGGCACCGGGTGGTACCAGGTGCTACCAGGTGGCACCGGGTGGTATCAGGTGCTACCTGGTGGCACCGGGTGGCACCAGGTGGCACCAGGTGGCACCGGGTGGTACCAGGTGGCACCGGGTGGTATCAGGTGGTACCGGGGCTTTGAGGTGCGTACTGCAACGCGGTGACCGTCTCAGTACCGCATCTTATATCAGGATGTCTGATATATATTCTTTCTATCCGTTGGTGGGTCCGACTCAGGCGCCTGCAGCGAACCGGGCTTTCAGCAGCCTGACGAAGTTAAAGTCACAAGTTTTCTCACAGCTGAACCATTTCTGTGTTTTGGGGCGAGGCGAGTTTTTTCCCGCTATTGCAAGGACAATTACAAAAACATTCATAGAAACAGTTTTTCTAACTTCAACATCAGACCTACGTTTCGGTTCACAAACAAGTGTATGTTGAAAAAAAAATAAAAAAATCTGATAGTGAGGCTCAGATCCGCCCCTCCTCACCATGGACCCGGTGTCTGAACAACATTATGAGACGGAGGGCAGCCAGACTGGGTTATTTAGATAAATTATTATATTTAGCTAAATATTGTTGCTAAGGGGCAGGGGCTGGAGCCCCCTCTCCCCCCCCTCTGCACCTGCCTGAAATTATTTACTGCTTGTGACCATCTTCATGTAAGAGCTGGCAGGGGAAGCACTGCCACCCTGTGGTTTTATTCAGTACAACACCCCTCTTTGAATTATGTTAAATTATAACTAAAACAATCCAATGAGATCAATCATAACTCATTTTATCAATTCACCACATGTTGGATTACTGCTAATAAGTAATTAGAGACGCAACTCTGAGTCTGAAAAATATACAAGAAATGTGTAAATAATCAGAAATCTCAGGTCGTCGGCTCTCGATCGACCAGAACTGAGGTTCAGCTGCAGACGAGCTTCAGGACGTCCTGTCTCTTCCTGAGGAGGGCGCCACAGAGTTGCCCCCAGAAGGGACCGGTGGAGATCTGGGTTTTCCAGCCAGACCAGCACCGGGTCAGAAGGATAAAATAAAGATCTGGAGCCAGTGAAGAGAATCATCAGCCTCACCCTGACCCCTGACCCCTGACCCTCTCCAGCAGTTAGAGGAAGATGAAAAATATTGATCCAAAGTGTTAAAGTATTTTTAAAGGGCCTTAAACCTGACCCATAAAACAGAACCTGCTGAGGAACCCATGATTTTCATGTTCTGGTACCTGGTTGCTGTTTGGAAAGTTACAAAGTGAAAACTTAACAGCAATAATCTGGGTGATTCAGCCTGTCATAACAAATGAGGGTCATATTTTCACCATGTTAATCATTCATTCATAAATGTCACATTTTTTAAAATAAAATCGATTTTAACTGAAATATTTAGCTTGCAAAGTAAATGTTGAGTTTGAAAGCTAAATATTGTATTTGGAAAGAAAATATTTAGCTTGCTAGTTAAGCTTGTTAGCTTAGCTAAGGTAGACTAGCTGCTAGCGACAAGCAGAATATTTAGTTTACAAATTAAAGATTTAGTCTGGAGCTAAATATTTAGTCAGCAAACAAGATATTTATCTCCAAATAAATATTTTGTTTTCAAACAAAATACATTACTGGCCAGCTAAATATTGTGCTAGCAACTTAGCTAAATAGCTAGGAACCTAAATATTTATCTTGAAAGCTTAACTTGGTCCAGCTAAACATTTTATTTGGATAAAATAATATTTAGCAACCACAAAATTGCTGTGAATTGTTTCCTCTGTAACGAACGGCTCCCTTACTGAAGCTGGTCCCTTCGGTTATCGGCCCGCCGGAGCGGAGCGCTCACCGCGTTTCACAGACACACACGGACGAGAGCGGGCCGGTGGCGGTCAGGACTTACTCTGGACGCCACACGTCCGGAAACATTCATGCTCCGAGCTAAAGCGGTTGGCGTTGCCGCCACAGCCGCCATACCAGAAGGGGGAGCATGCAGCGACGGTTCTGTCAAAGAACCACCGCTGGACAAAGACGGAACACTGGGACCCGAAATCAACATCCAGCTGACAGCGGGCTGCAAGCAGAACACACACA